AATAGGAATGGAGGGCTTGACATCATACTTCAGGATTTAAAAAAAATAATGATTAAACAGACACACGTGCACTCACACACAAAGGGCATAAGTTTACATGTACATTTATATAATTTATAGAAGTCTGGAAATTTTTTTAGTCAGCTTGGTTGTCACCCTGGACTCATTTGTTGTTGATCCTGATTTTTTCCCCCCCCCAAATCCCGAATCCCCCCCCCTTAAATCCTGATTTTTAAAATTTCATAGAGTGGCAGGTCTGAAACTTGTAGGGACCGTAGATGGTAAGGATTACTCCAATCCAGTGTGTCCACAGGTGGCAGATAGTGGAACGGCCTCTAGATATAGATCTTAGCTGCGAATATCTAAATAAGCAGTCGCAGACCAAATGGCGGTGAGGATGGAGGGCGCGGTGAAGACTATGGTGTGGCATCCCATTCTTCATTCAAGTGAAATGTAAAATTAAATACCCTAAGTGCCCGGTGAAAGACTTAAAAATTTACCCCCAAAAATTCGAAAATATTACCCAATGTTAGGACAAAAATGCCAATTTCTTCGATTTTATTATTTTGCCGAATGCCTGATTTCACCACTCTTTGCAACACATGAACAACTGCCGTGCTACAGAAATTATGAAATGGTTCACTGAAACGCTCTATAATAATATAGTACTGTTAATTTTTCATATAAATTCTTCTATAGCTAGTTCACTTTTGTCCACGTTAAACAATTCTAGCTCATAATTTAGTAATATACCAATAGTCGTGTAACTTTGCATGGCATTTCTGGAGGCCAGCGACCAAACATAAATATTGGAGGAGAAAAATTTTGATACAGTTTACACATTTCTTTATTTGGCATTTTGTTAAATAGGCTACCACCCTTTGGGTGCATGCACAAGATCTCATGATCTACTGTGATCTGGCCTTGTCAGTTTCATACCAAATCTGTCTAGACATTTCCTCATGTCTAGAAAATTACACCTGACTGCTGGACCATGTGTTTCATTGGCATGCGTTTGAAGCATTTCAGTATGATGTTTATGAAATAGGTCAACTTTTCAGTGTTTTAGGTGTGTGTTACTTGTAAATTTATTATTTTAATACCACTTTTCTAACGTCTAAGAATATGTGTCGGAGCCTTAGCTTGCAGTGACCTTTATAAATGGGCTTCTAGATTCTGTTGGTCATCCAACTTTCAGACCTGTATGCAAAGACCTTAAAGTCTTAAGATTAGACCGCGATTTGTTTTTATCTTGGACTTGTTTTAACTGACAGATTCAAAGTGAACAAACAAGCAAGCTGTAGTAGCAAGTGGTGGCCGCTTGGGCTCAGTGAGCCTCATTCCACCTCCGGTCACGCAAAGTTCTTTTGGGTTAACTATACATGACATCCTTAACAGGGCTTGAATTAGGTGTTCAAGAGGGCAGGCAAAAATTGCCTAGGTGTGGCCTAAAAATCAGAGGGCATCGAGGCAATTTGCTAGGGCACCAAGGCAAAATTCACTGGGGATCATTTTGTTGATTAAAGTTGGTAATACTGGGTCATGCATCACAGCGTTTATAACGATACAATTTATTCTTACTCTCTACAAAAGTATAAAGTTATTGGAACATTATAAAATTTGTAAAATTATGAATGAAAAGTAAGTAGAATCTAAATCACAGTAAAATCACATCAAAACAAAAGCACTAAAAGTAATAGTTTTAAATCAGACGATCACGATTGCATCTGACATAAATGCCTTTATGACTACCCCTCACTGATTGGATTAAATGCATGTGTATGACTGTTGGAAATAGGGCACAATAGAAAACAGTGAATGATTTGACCAGTTAGGTGAGACATTGGTCATTAATGAGATTCAAACAGAGTGGTTTTCAGGCGGTGTAGTGATAAAATGAAAACAAATTTTGAACTTGCATGTAAGAAAATGAGGAGTGAAAACAACTTATGAACTTGTATGGAAAAAAAAGAGGGAATAACTAAAAACTGTTGTTAAACAGTTATGAGGTTATGACTATGATAAGTGAAAACAAGTTTTGGAAATATGTCTTAAAGTGTGTTGTATAAAAAAGACCTAAACAATCAGCATGTCATATGACTTAATGACTGGATCAGAATATTGAAAATATGTTTGGCACACACAATATAGAAAAAGACTGGCTTACTGAGGTTTGGTTATCATTGGTGTGAGTGTGTTTGCACTAGCCCTGACAAAATTGACACAATTGTCAAGCTGAGCAGTGTCTGACTGAAGTTTTGATGAGATTTCAGACAACTCTGACAGGATGTCTTCATACACCCCCCCACCCCCCCTTCCTCACGTGTATCTTAAAAAAAAAAAATCAATAATTTCCCCCTATTCCGGAGTCCCATACTTCGCGGCATTCAGACTTTGAATGAACTTTGGTGACCCTAACAACCGGTGCTCACACGATGCCGTATCTTGTGATGTAGTTTCAATGACCGGTCACGATGGCGAACCCGACAAGACGCTTGTACATTGTATAACTTTCTTTTCTTTTTTACCCCACAAGTGACAGCACAGGACAAATTATATTGATTTATTTTCATGGCGTCACATTAAAAAGAATTAAAAACAAGGGCACGGCAAAAATTGACGCGGTTGACCCTGTGATTTTAAGGGCATTGCGGCAAATTGCCGCAGTCTATTTCAAGCCCTGCATTAATTTTTTTGGTCATATTATTATGTGCTTGGCTGAATGATCAGTGACACAGGTCGTAATTTTAAAATATTTGGAATTAAATTTGATTTTAAAAGAAGCTCATCAATAAAATGAAGACAAAGACAAGTCACGGCATTGTTTGTTTTGACAAAGAATAATCTTGAGATATTTTTCATTTTCAGAGGACAATGGCTCGGGGTCAGCAAAAAATCCAGTCCCAGCAGAAAGCAGCTGCAAAGAAAGCAGCCGATGCCAAGAAGGGTGGGAGCTTCCAGGATCAGAAGAAAGCAGCAGCAAAGGCCCTCACTCACAGTTGTCCTGTGTGCAAGGTAAACTAGGTTCCAAAAATTGAAAAACTAACACTACAGCATGGGTCATGTGAAGCGTGCTGACAAAATTAGTTACTTCTCGGATACAAGCCTTAAGGAAATAGATGCATCATGCTTTTAGGTGAAGTTTTTACAATAAGTATGAAATTATTAAAGACAGGTTATAGTTAAAGAACGTGGCATCAGTAGAAAATCTAAAATTTGACCCTTACATGTCGTATTTTGGCCAATATCTCCTTTTGTGGATTGCGAGAAGGAACTCACTTTGGTCAGCACGTCTCAATATGTTTTACAAACTCTAGTTGATTTTGATGTTCTATGTGGAGGTGGTTGTCTGTGTGCAGGGGGTGAATGGAATTCAAAATGCAGTCTGATGTGAAGTTTCAAAGTAGATTCATGTAGTAATTGCAAAGTAAGAGTAAATGTGTCTCCTTATGTGCGGCAGGATGTTTTGTCGTGCATGACAGTCACTAGCGATGTGTATCCTTTTGTGCAGCCACATCGCGCCAAAAGTTTCAGATACAATCGGCGAAAGCAACAAAGCTGTCCGCTTATATTATATGCGCGGCGCAACGTTTTTGTATCTGTCTTAATAAAACCCTATCCGTACGTCATGTTTTACTATCATATATATATATCCATACAAAGTGGGGAACTCTGTGCCACCACTTTCAAAAAAGGAAGTTTACTCGTTAATTCGATCCGTACGCTTTGCATAGCAGTTAGTCAAAATGATTTTTTGAGAAATACTGAAAGTTTCAAAGAGATCTTCGCACTAGAAGTATTCTACAATGTGAAGAATACAACCCCGGGGGGTACAAAATCAAAACGACCTCAGGGCGTATGGATGATAATAAAGTAATACAGTATAAAACGGATAGCTCGAATTCATTGGGGTCGGCCTCGGTAGCTCAAGGTGTCCTTCGTTCGGGGGATACATACGTGAACAGTGTTGTGGCATTGGCTTTTTCAGGGAATCAAGCGAAGCCACAAAGATTGGGTCGGAACAGAGATTTTTCTTTTTCCGGTCATTGTCCTTGATGAGATAGGTTAAACCTATGCGTCCCGTCTTAAATTTAGAATTTGAGAGAATTTGAAAAAGACAGATTGAGAATGAGAAACATGATCTGAGCAGCGCTTTCGAGTTTGATTGGTAATGAGCCTAACGGTACAAACGGAGACTCTTCAATTGCGCGGGTCAGTGTGAGCGGTCTTTAGTCTGCATCAATCGAATGGTGCCTTTTCACATTTGTCAAAACATGAACAGGGTGACAAAATAAGCATATCTAAAAAATAATCAACAACAATGCAATGTCCTTTGCTAAGAGGGGTGGGGAAGCCGATCGTGTGATGCACAACCCCTACTCTCGCCCGCTCCACACAAGCCTAGCTAGGCCTTGGACCTGGGCACGCACAGAGGGCACACATGTCGAGCGGTGTGCTTAAAAAAAGCACAGCTATCTGCTTTTATGTGTGTGTGTGTGGGGTGGTATTTTACCGACCTTGCCTTTTTCTGTTTTCAAAAATTGTTATTTTGTATCAAGTGCACCTCAAAGGACTTTGACTTTAGACCTCTACGATGGCGTAATTAGTTTGACTATTCAGTGTTTGTGTTCGAGCTTCGCTTAATTTTCTCACAAAGATAAAGAAGAAGAAACGGGACGGCAGGCACAGTTTGACGGATGCATGATTTCGGGTAATCTGTGTTCGACCTATCCGGTTCATACTGTAAATGGTTTGTATTTTTACCTGTGCTGTCACAAATGGAAAGCACTGGCTTTCCGACAGGGTCACGGTTGCCTCATTTCCGTATTGTAACAAATGGCCATATTCGAAGATGGCTGCCAGGTCATGTCGTCACACAAAGGAAATAACTTACAAAAACCAGTTTTTTTCCAATATGCTTCAATATACGTTAATAATGTTTTTTGTTCAATGTATTTCAAAAAATGGTCTGGAGGTAACAGTTTACATTGAATAGTCCTGAGTCTAATTTTGTTGTTTTGTTTTTTTAACAGACAGCAGAAAAAGGATGAGGAGGAGGAGGAAGACTGGAGAAGGAGGTGGAGGTAGACGAAGAAGAGGAGGAGGAGGAGGAAAAAAGAGGACTTACACGGGGTTGACCATGTATGGAATAATAAATGTCAAGGGCTTGTAGAAATCCCAGCTGATGGGCTTTGTACTTGCCTGTCCCTTTTCCCTCAAGTGCACTTTTTGTCCAAATGTGTCTCTCAGGTTTTTCTGCTTCTTCCTGCATTTCTGATCTTTCAAAGAATAATTGGTTACCGGGTATTTTACAAAAACCCATTATTTAAAATATATTTTTGAAAAAAGATTGTCCAATCCTCTTCTTCCTTCTTCTTATCATCCCTCAACTGCACGAGAAAGGGCTGACAGAAGTTGCTGGTGTTTTGGCTTTTGCCATCAGTGCCAGGTTGATGACTAGTTTAGACAAACTTGTCTCATTCTCATGGTCCACTTCCTGTAACTCCTTTTTTGTTGTTGTTTTTTAGCATTTTGCCTCATTCTTAGAATATTTGATCGGAGTTTTTGTTTATTATAATTGAATGTGCTCAGTCAACTGGATTTTTTATTTTTTCAACTGTCCAGGCCTTGATGCCAGACCCAAAGACATTCAAGCAGCATTTTGAAAACAAACATCCCAAGGCCCCTTTGCCTCCTGAGCTGCAAGAGGTGTGACGACAGGTATGATTATTTCTCTTCTTCCTCCCCCCATCTTTAGCTCTCTCTCTTTCTCTTGTTTCTGTCTCTGTCTGTCTGTCTCTGTCTGTCTGTCTGTCTGACTGTCTGTCTGTCACTCTCTCTCTCTCTCTCTCTCTCTCTCTCTCTCTCTCTCTCTCTCTCTCTCTCTCTCTCTCTCTCTCTCTCTCTCTCTCTCCCTTTCTTTCTTTCTTTCTTTCTTTCTTTCTTTCTTTCTTTCTTTCTTTCTTTCTTTCTTTCTCAGGGACCCTGAATTTTATTGAGAGACTGACTGTAGCTTGAAAATAAGTAGTTATTGAGAGACTGACTGTAGCTTGAAAATAAGTAGACACTCAATCACTTTTTAGTCATAACAGTGAAGCTCAGCTGAAAAGGAAAAGAATTTCCCATTTTTAAGATATTCACAAAAGTCAACAAAAGACATTGTGTTTAATTATAGATAAGAGCCAGGTAAAGGAACAAGCTCTTGTTCAACAAAGCCGCTTGTTGATTAGCCTTACTTATGTGGCTTTGTTCATTTTTGTCCTGTCATGAAACTCGTCTTCTCTTTCCTATTTCATGGGTCCATCAATGGCCCTGCATTGGGGATTATTACTCTTAGGCTATTTCATAGCCTATCACACATTGTTTTTTACGATAAACTTATCAGAGTCAAACAGTCTCTGTTTGCGAACCAATTTGAGAGGTCAGCTTCAACACCAACATGGATTGTTGATGCTTGCAAGAACTGTATTTTAGGCTTTTGAGCCTAGTCTCGTTTGTGCTGGAGTTGAGATCAGAGATAGGTCTTGGCGCTCATATGACCTTATGCAGTTGCGAGCATCGTAAAACCTCTACTAAAACTAAACTAAAAGAGATACGTCAGACAGCGGGCCATCACGCATATGGGCGAAAACATAGAGAACGCCAAGTTCGGAGACTGACCCAGTGAGCGCCGATAGGTATAAAAATTCCCTTATGATTTCCAACTTGCCCCACATACAGCTGGCAGACTGCAGGCGGCTTTAAACTCGGATCGGCGTTGTCGGCTTTATCGGAATCCAAACTACATTTTTATTACGCTGAAAAAGTGGGAATGGCGTCTCGCTGTCAACTCGCGACTGCAGTGCTTTCTTGTTGTATCTCCATTTTTTAACAGTGAAAATGTGACTTCTTCTTAAGCTCACTCTTTGTTGTGAACTGCTTTCACTGTATAAAAAATGGAGATGCGACAAGAAAGCACTGAGGTAGCGAACTCTCAATGCCGCCTCGCCGTCGCCAACTCGGGTTGAGCAGTTTGCATGACGTCACCCGACTGGACAGGGTACAATTTTAAATCAGTGTCATCAAATTAGGTTGGTCATGGAGCAGAATTACATTTTAAGCAATATTTCAGGAATTTAGATTTTTTTAAATCCCCAAATAAATGCTTCATAAAAACCAGCTGTGTTGTGGTGTAATTTTTTTCTTATATATCTTAAATATCTATATCTAGGCTTTAGGCGCCCTCTATGTGGAGTCAAGCAGACACCTACTGGCGCCTGTCCGCGTCGATCTTCAGCCGCTTAAGATTCGGCGTTCTCTATGTTATCGCCCATAGGCTGTCTGTGAGGATGGTGGGTCAGGGTAGAACATGAGCAGGGATGTAGACGGCAGTAGCCCAGGAGCGTCACTGTCATATTTTTTTCCCCCCTTTCTACCCGGGTCTCTGACATGTTTTTTTAATAAGACGAGTCGAAAGGCTATGGTAAGACTTGATAAAAGCAGCAGGGGACAAAGAAATATGCATGCTGAAGAGGCAATGTACACCTCTACTTGAATACATATATATCACGATAAAGCATTTAAGTTTTGGCGTGGCTCATATGAAATTAAAAAGAAAAAGTAAATGTTGTGAAAGCTTGATGCAATAGGCTTTGTATAGGGAAGCAACTGCTCCTGAAAGCAAGCACTTGGTTCTGTCCCTTTATCAGGATTCCTACGGCCTTCTTGAATTCAAGGAATCCTTGAAAACTCATTGAATGTGCATTCAAGTAAAAATCTCCTTGAAAAGTTCAATTTGAGGAACCTCCTTGAAAACTCCTTAAATTATGTCGGATTGGACATGTACAAAATTTTGTCGGACAATCGAAACTTTCCCTGACAATGAAGGAAGTGTTGTACAAAGATTAAACTAGTGTGGGTTTTTAGGAAAATCCAATGATCTATGTGAACTATTAGCGAATGTTGTCCTTGAATATCAAGAGAAAACGGTATTTTCACTGAAAACAAAGACAAAAATGGAATGTTAGGAATATCATCCTGCAATTAATGCTTGTTGATTTGTAAAGAAAATCTCAAGCATCATGACCATGTAGAGAAGTAGCATTGGGAGTGTCAAATTTCAACTTTCTAACTTGTTTCTTACATAGTTGAGTAAGACGTACTGAAGGCTCTTTATAACATGTGTGTCATGATTTTATTTCTTTTTGTGGCTTGTTTTTTTTAAAGATATTTTGATTTTTATTAGTGTTAGAGTACCTGTTCTAGTTTTAGGTCCATTGGATTGACATTCTGAAGAATCTGCTATCAATCCCTTGTGATTCTCTCAAATTCATGTTGAGAACATTTTATGGTATGTGGATAGTCACTGGAGTTTTAACTGATTCAATTTTCTCTCCATGATACCCTCAGATGGTCCAATAGGATGGAGCTAGTCTGCACACATCAGCACAGTTGACCTGCTTGTCTGACTTGACTGCGGGGAAAAGGGTCGATTGTTTCCCCTCATCTCATCCAAATTCTTCATTGTTACGTTCTGTGTGTAGTACGACTGTTGATCTGTTCTTCTTGAACGTATGGGTGTATTGTCTCGCAAAAGTTTTTGTCTGTCTGTCTCTGCAAAGCTTGCTATTTGCAGTATGTATATTTTGAAATAAGTATTTGTTGGGAGAGGGATGGCTTTTTGTGTGTGTTGGATTTTGCCTGGTTGTGGTTTGTTGTGTTTTTCCTGATATTTCTGAGAGATGCATCAAAAGACATTTGGATCAGGGAAACTTTCCACATTTGAAGCACCCCTCAGCGACAGTCTTGGATCTACGTATCTCAGCGTTCTTGGCTCTCGGCCTTGTGGACATTTTCAGTACGGCATGATTCTGCTCGCCAGAACCAGCTTGCTATCAAATTTCCATCCACTTTCTTTCGTACTTTCATACATCATAATGTCAGTATGATAAATTAAGTTGCAGAGAACAAATATATGGAGGGGTTATTTTTTTTTCGTTTGAATTTATCATGGGTGTGAGGTCAGTCCAGAGACGTCTCTGTATGAAGAAATGTTTTCCCCTCTGTCTCTGATGTAGGAAAACCCGCAGTCATTCCCAGCTCGGCTTGGCTCTACCAGCAAACTAACTTAATTTGTACATTTTGTCGCAGTGAAGGCTCACTCACACTGACAATACCCTGTTACTGCTCTGATTGTTGTTATGGCCGACAATAGGAATGTGCTACCTTATATGAACTGAAGTAAAAAAAAAAATGTATTACATTCATCAAAGAATTGTTGTCCTTTAATGATTGGTTCTTTATGTGTTGTTACTGACATGTGTATGTTCTGTGTGATGTGGCTATCCGCTCACCTACACAAACACACACACACACACACACACACACACACACACACACGCACACACACACACATGTATATCATATGTATATCATATGTACACACAGACATTTCCTTTTCCCATTCCAAATGAGGGATCGACACGAGCATCGTCCTGGTGTAGTTCATACTTTTGAGTGATGGATACTCTATTGTTACACTTTTTTGTTTGGGCTGAACTCCCAATGTTTATATAGGGCTTTGTGGTGTGTGTGTGTGTGTGTGTGTGGTTGCTGGTAGCTTTTGTTCCTGCGGGTTGTCTGTGTGTGCTCCTTCTGCCCTTGTAGTGTAATTTGTGACAGGTCAAACATTTCAGGTGGGTGGTTGGAGGGTGCTCTGGTGTGGTTTGCTGCTTCTTTCCTATCAAACATCTATCGTCCTTATCTCCCCTTCTTCTTTTTTATGTTTGTTACTCTCTTGTAACTCCTCTAATCGTCTGGCGCTCATTTGACCTAATGCAGTTGCGAGCGCCGTAAAACAATTACTAGAAAAAACATTTCAGGCTTTGGGAGAAAAATGAGTTTGAGCAGCCCGCTCTTGGTTTAGGCCTTTATTTATGTAGCCAGTAACAGTATTAAACCCATACAGCTTATCACTTCAGTTTCTTTGCAGAATAGACATTTTTGTCTGTTAGTCTAATTTTTTCAAAATTATTCTGCAAAGAGTTGAAACCCTGTTGTTTTGAAAGCTCATCTGACCGCTACTCCCCACTCCAGGCTGATAAATGACAGAAAAAGCGTGTTGTGTCTATGGTTTGTGTAATGTGGTGAGGCTCTTGTGGTAATTGCTTGTCTTTTCTTTTTCCATCTTATCTGGATGCCCTTCAGCAGCCTTATTGTCACACTCAGATTTATCAAGGCGTTTCTTTTTTTTGTTTAAAGTGTTGTCTTTTTTTTTAGATGTAGGCCTACTTGGAGAGCTCCTGTTGTTCTAGGTTACGGTCTTGAGTTGAGGTTTCATTGTCAAAGAGCAAATGTTCACTTAAGTTCATAAGGTTTCAGATTTGCTGAACACACATTGAAGACTGGTACTAACATAAGGTTTCATGGGTGGTTGGCAGGTGTTCTGGTGTGGTTTGCTCCTTCTTTCCCATCAAACATTTACCGTCCTAATCTCTCCTTCTTTTACCTTTCTGTTACTCTCTAGTGACACCTGTAATCTTTGGCATTTATCTGACCTGTTTGTGTTGCAAGTGCCAAAAATCTCTTACTAAAACTTAAAACATGTCATTAGGTTTTCCACTTTCCTGGTCAGAGAATAAGATGAAGCCTTGAAAGACAATCAAAGGTATTGTTTGTGTGCCCCATACACCTTCTTTTAAGGGACCTTGGCATTGGCCTTTGACAAGTGAAGAGAGAGGAGGCTGGCCAGGCATTGTGTGAGACTATCCCAAGCCAAAACATGAGACAACTGTGATCAGTGTAGGGAATGGCATGGATTAGGGAAAGGCAAGGGATGGAACTTTGTCTGTAATGTATAACAGAAGAGAAAAAATATCTGCTACAATTAGTAGTGGTACTGTGGGTTGATGGTAACTTGGACTTGACTAGCCCTTAGCTTTGTTAATTAACTAAGTGCAGTAAACAAAAAAACAAAAAAGAAAGTTGATTGGTTCCAGTTTTCGGTTATTTCTCTGTTCTCAGTTTTTGTCTCTTCATTCATTCCCCCCCAACCCTGTTCAGCAGTGAGTTTGGTGGGCTTAGCGTACTTAGTGAGGAAACAAAGAATAGGTCATGGTCGTTCAGTATTGTTAAAGTTGTTTTGTGGATCTATTTGTTGTGTGTTTTTGTTTTTTGTTTTTCTTTTCCTTTCTTTCCTTTTTCTTTTTTCCAATTTGGTTTTAACGTGTACTTTTGTTGGTGTCTTTAGGTGTCACATTTGATTTACCTTTATATTATCACTATTTCCTGGTGTTGGAAAAGCTTTTTCATTTATTTAATGGCTATTCAAACAAAGTCTGTTATTTGTGTAATGGGTGTGGGACTTTGAAGTTTTTCTTTGGGCACGTCTCAGAAGTGTGACAAGACAATAATAGATCTTCTGTGGTTGTTCATCGTTTGTGGCTTGAGTAAATATATGTTATAATAGATCTTTGTTTCTTGGTGCAGAATATGCCGAGAGCTGTTTGTCAGTCTGTCTGTCTTTCTCTCTCTCTCTCGTTTTTCATTTTTGCAGCAGCTTCCTGCTCTTTCTCTTATTGCAGGTCTTTTTGTATTTTGTGAATATTTGTGTGTGTGTGACTGAAAAAAAGGAGCCGAAAAATTGCTTAGGCTTAATTTGAGAAAATGAAGAAAATAGAAAGTGAAAAATCATTTTTAGGAAAATTGAGATTCATCAGGGTATCACCACATGAACCATTTTACTTCATTGTCACACAATTTTTATGCCAATTCTTCTAAATACTATGTTTTTGAAAGCTTTTAAAAACGTTTTTTACTCCTCATGACAAAATGGCTTTGATTTTTGACAAGTAGTCACCATATCCAATAGTCTTTTTAGTTTTAGTCCTGTACCAGTATGCTCTTTCGACCCCCAGCATACTTTTGTCGTTGTTCTCTTTGTGAACAACCCTGTAACCTGTTTACTGACGGTTAGTGCGCATGGTTTCCTACCGGCTGGCAAAAAATGGCAGTAGTGGTTATTTATTGTGGTCATCACGTCTTGACCTCGGAAGTGTCTTTTTACTCATAATTTCTGCTCTACTATCAGTGGCCAGTGTGATTATTTTGTCTTTGACTCCTTTTTTTGTAAAGCATTTGTTCGCCCTATAATACCAGTGTTGCTGTATTAGATAAAAAGAAATTTTGTTCATTTTGATGAGACACAAGCATTTCATTACCGGTACATGAAACTTGAAATTTAAAAAAAGGTGTTTTTCGCAAAGGTAGTCGGTGCGACCCTCTCATTAATAAAGTGACCATATTATGATCTCAAAAACATATTTGAGATATTTGACAGATTTTTAAAACAAGAAAGAGTCACCAGGAGAGGTCATTCTATGCAGAGATGCCTGCAATTTCGTACAAAAGCGAAAATGTGCACATGTAGTATGTAGACCCTTTTCTCAGGCATACACACATTGTCCTTGTTTTCTCTGGGACACTTAATTAAATGGATAATATATATACATGATGGATGTTATCTTGTTTTGTACATCTGTGACTGTGAACATTCTCTCTCTCTCTCTTTCTCTGACTCTTTCTTTCTCTCTCTGACTCTCTCTCTCTCTGTCTCTCCCTCCCTCCCTCTCTCTCTCATTCTTGTCTTGTCATTAGTCTTTTGGACCTACACACATATTTTGTGCATAAATGTTGTCGGTTCTCTGGCCCATGATGCTATTGCAATGGAGGGTCACACAATGTACAATTTTTCGTCTGGTGTACAGATAATTAAAACTGATTGATCAATGCTTTCAATTTGTTTGTGTTCTTCCATGTTTACAAGTGTCTTGTGGTCTTTCATGTTCACGATGAGTAGGCTACACATGTATGGTGGTCCAGTGCTTTTTGTACTGTTTGTGGTCTTCTGTATTATTTACACATGTTGCGTGGTCCCTGTTTGAGTTTGAAGCTTTCAGTGGGTGGTTGGCGGGTGCTCTGGTGTGGTTTGCTCCTTCTTTCCTACGAAACATCTATCTATGGTCCTGATCTCTCTTCCTTCTTGTTTTGTGTTTGCTACTCTGTTGTAATATCTCTATCCTATCTATCGTCTACTTTCGTCTCAACTTCTTGCCCCCTCCCCCCCCCCCTCACCTCCTCTGCCCCCTCCTCTGGACTCCTGACTCTTTCTGCAGCCTTTCAACTGCTACTCCTTGGCTCCTTCTTAGTCTTACTGCTGTCTTTCAGCCACACCCCTGATCTTCTGGAAGGAAAGATCTACACCTAGCCTTCTCGGACAAGGGCGAAAAAGCTCGGAGGTCCCATGTGCCAGTTGCGCACGTTTCAAAATTCCTTGGTGGTCCAAAAATCGACAAGAAGAGTAGGCTTCGGGCACCAGCCGGGCAAAATTCAGAATTTCCTACCAACTGAAAATGTTTAATGTGTCCCGTGCGCTCATATGACCTTATGCAGTTGCGAGCGCCGTAAAACACTTTTAAAAATAAAAAACAAGTCCTGGCTCCACCAGCAACTTCATCTGCATCACATCAGTCTTCCTAGTACATTTACAAAACTAACATGATCGTAACCGTGTTTTGAATATTATAGCTAACATATCACCTGCACAACTGTACACTAATTAATTAGATGGCATCAATCTG